AAAAATGAACAGTTTTGGAACTATTTTCATAGCAATTTACGTGAAAGCATTATTTTCTAAAAATGATTAGTAATCCTCAGAATATCCCAAATAATTGTTGACTGTCATAAGTATACGTATCTTTATGTAATCAAGCAAATTATTGATATACGGTAAGAAACTGTTACCATAGAAACGACCTGTAAGTACTTTGGTGACCTTATATACCATATATTTTGTAAACAACAGCATAAAATAAATCCATACTGTAAACAATCCAGGGAACTGGATAAAATAATATTACGTAACACGCTCTACAAACATATTATATATGTACTAGTTGAAAACAAATTTTCCGATTTACTGGTAAATTAAATTACACGACACTTGTTACTATTCAGTATGAGCTGTAATTTTATACTTATTCTTTCACCTGATGAGTATTTACCAGTATATCTACCCTGTATATTTGTATGATATAACTCTATATTCTGCTGTATTTACGCATGTATCTATTACTAATAACACAGTCTTTCCTTAAAGTTAAATCTCGTTTCTAGTAAAAAAAAAATAGAGCAAGAAAAGAAAACCGAATGTACCACTGTTTTGTAAAATGCAACTACAAGTCTCCCTGTCATTATTGACCCATACAGTAAAAACCGAATTTAATAATTATTACTACATGCAATAAACTGTGAGATTTGCCATTTCGGGTGAATACAACCAATTTTTCACGTATTTATAGTATCCTCCCATAATACCCAAATGAAATCAATCTAGTTTTCACCCGAACCTGTGTGTTAAGGATTTGTTTTATTCATTTGTAGACCAAAACGTGTTTCGGACTAATGCGTTTCCAGAGAATCAATGAATGAATGAATTTCACTGAAACGAGAGGTTTCAATTGGCCGAAGAAATAACATTGGAACATTTTTAAAAAAACGTCATTACACACTTTGCTCATTGATTGACTTTCGATTAAAGCGGGGAGTCGTCACCTGCGCATGCGTCAGATGGCCATAGCGTGTCATTGTTTACAAACAAGCGTCTATCCATGAGTCTTTGCGTTTTTAGCGCGTGTTGTAATCATGATCATCCTTGGAACTCAATTCCCGCGCGTGCGCAGATGGCGACCCTTCCGCTTTAAACTGCCATTAAAATGTATAAATATTCAGTTTATACAAAATGAAAGAAATTAGTTTGTTGCAAATAATATCGTCAATATTTGGACTAATTTTTTCTAGCATTCTAAGGTATGACCACGTATACCACGTATATGAAACTGTAAATGGGGGCGCTCTCAGGCTTCGCTACGTCCCTGATTTCTGCGAAGAAGCAGACTGCGAACTTCGGCACGAGAGTCCGCGTTATTGATTCCCCATATCGACTACCGTGACTGAGGGCGTGCAACAAGACGAAGTTGATTGAACAGTTGATGTTTTCACAAATGACGCTAATGTATTCCGAAACTTGTATAACCACGGTGACGTCATCATCATCTTCTAATCCCAAACCTAGAAAAAAAATGTGCCTGTATAATTTCTTTTGCAAAGATATGTGGGTGAACATAAATAATAATAGTATAATGGTGATGTGTATTTGACGAATACCGTGACGATTAAAGTGGCATGTGACACTGAAACATCCCCATACAACAAAGTAACACATTGCAAAGTATGGCTATTTTTCATATACAGTAATGAGTCATGTATCCAATATTTTAAAATAAAATGATGAGAATGAGAATGAAGCTGAATTAATCACATTGTTTTTATCTGCGCAGCTAAATACTCATTGTAGATATTTTTTAAAACCATTTGGTTCTCACTGAAATTCCAATCCAAAGTTTAACTCTCTGCAATACTGATATCACCAAAAGATTTGGAATATAACATAACATCATTTGCAAAAGTGTGTTTAGTATCCTCGGGGGCGGACATCCGGGCATTTTCACCGCCTGGCAACCCGCGGCGGTGAAAACAAAGGCCCAAAACTCGCAGAAAACGGTACTTTGGGGTGATTGTTGAGACTCTTCTGAATAGTGCAACAAGATTAGCCCTACGTGTGTAACATATATAAATTTGATTGTTCGGGATTACTTCAAAGTTGAGTTTGTATTGTTTTCTCGAATTTTCACCGGCTCGACCGGCGTTCCACAGCAGCGCGCACAGAGCCCATAGAAATGCATGGTACAGTGATGCGCGTCTTAGCAACGTGGAACGTCTGTGACGTAGCTCCGCCCCCGAGGATTTACTATAATAACCTGCTTCTAATTGTGGTGTGTAGCCTATAAAACTTACAAACACCAACACTTATTTACACCACTTCTAAATTTGTCCGAGTGGCGTTTTGCCAGTTGAGTCTGAGCATACTCGTATATAAGGCCGATTTTGATATGCCGGAAATAAAAACTGTCAACCGCTCACTTATTGGTCTGACTGTTATGTGTTAGAGTTGAGTAGCCAATCAGGCACATTCTTGTAAGCAGAGGCAGAGCCAGTGTTATGCATGTGGTTTATTTCATGAACCAAAATCTGTCTGTATGTCTGCCAGTGTGAGAAAGCAGCAATGTATTCGGAGGAAAAATGTGTAGGGGGATCTGACCGAGATTCTCTGCCGAAAAATCAAGATTGCCGTCAGCGCCAACTTTATATACTTTTATAACTCAGTTGTTAACAAAACTCTGTGAAAAAGATGATTGTTGAACCTTTTACCATTGTGTTATATGGTAATGGTTGAGTATATGGTTATATGGTATATAATGGTTAAGACATGTAACCCTATCTATCAGATTGAATTTGCTGGAATCACTAGAAAAGCTGCAAACGTCGGCATAGAACGGTGTTGTAGCTAAAACAAAACACATATAGAGACACAATGTTTCACACTATCAACAGTGTAAATGCAAATTTCCTGAATTTGGATAAAGAAAAACAATTTAAATATATTTTACAATAAAAACATAAAGACACTATTATAACCCTGTACGTGTACTTGAGTAACAGTAAATGAACAAAAAAAATACACTCGGTCACACTTATTTTACTTTTATTTACTCAATTTTCGCTTACTTACTTTTTTAGTTATTCATTATCAACTTTATTACATTTTAAACACCAAATTAGAAATGTAACATTTTCTACACGGTTATAATAAATCGTTTATCTATATCTATCTATCTATCTATCATACGTGCTTACTTTTGACTTTTGAGTGGTAAAACAAAATACATAGCTTCGTCGACCATAGGAGGATAAAAGTGACAAATACAGCGACCATCACTCGAATTCTCACGACGATTGAATTGAGAGAAACTATGATGACATATAGGACAACTTAGTCACAACTATCAGCGATGTTCGACTCCATCTTAATACTTTCTCGAATAACCTTCCGCCGAATTCAAATTGCCGTTCAACGCATGCATCGTACGACGCAACCGTTCCCTCGTCTATAGTGTATTCAAATGAGATGTTTTCAGAGTGAAAGTAGTATGGAAGGGCGAAAAGCAAACACGACAATGTAACAATTAGTATGACGCGCCTTGATCGGCCAGTGGTCATCAAATGACGTCGGCGGAGTGGGTAACAGATGACAATGTGTCGACTGTGAAAGCGAAAGCGGCTCCGAACCAGATACTGGCGTTGCAAGCAGCGTGGAAAATCACAGCGCTGTATTCAAATACAAAAAGAATTGTACGACTAATAACCAAAAAGGACGGAAAGAGTAAAAACTTCCTGTAAAAATAAAAGATTAGTACCTGCCATAGCAAAAAGATAACAATTGACCGAACTGCATACTTTATGGTTCATCCATATTGCTAAAATGGTCAGGGTGTAAAGTAATGGCCAGAATCGTATATTTTGTTATTTTCCACTCACGAACCTTCAACAATGCTGCTAAATATCGATGAAGTGAGTAGGAATTGATTGCGGGGAAGGTGAAATCCGGGGGTGAAATATTGACTACTGTTCTTGTTGCTTTCAGTTTCGTGCGTCAAACGTTTTCAAGGGACAATAAATAGCCTATCAATATGCGCGGTTCCATAGGTATTATGAGACTTCGTACAGCCGATGTGATGTGTTACTGTTTTCAGAGATGTATACTTTATTGTTTCACTCGTTTTATTTTGTACGTAAATATACATTTCATTCATAAATGGCCAAACCTATGTCGTCAAAATATTGTCATCCCGGTGCCCAGGTCCCATATTTGTAAAAGCGAGATTTTCTCCCTGATTTGTTTCAGCGACCTTACCATTGCCTTCTCGATCTTTGAAAAAAGTCGCAGTATCTTCGTAATCATAATTTGTTGTTCCCTAGGAACCAAAGTTCAGTGATGATGAGTTGACTTCGTGATTTCATCGGGAGTCTAATGAGTTGCATGTAACGTTGCCAGGTGAACTAGCTTACTTTCCCGAAGAACAACGGTGTTTGTAGTAATTACCCTCACATCAGTGCTTTCACATAAGACACATACAACTGACAATTCGAAATATATGCCCCCTTGTACCAGTAATCGTGTCATCGTATAGCGTCGGGATCGGGTCCAAATTGAATGTGGCTACCTTGCCGTTACATCTCCGACTATTAGTTAATGTCACTCACAGTTGTAGTACAAAATAACCACTGCACTAATTAGGTGTTTCCGCAAATTTGGCGATTACGATCGTTAGTGGTTGCCATGGCTATAACATTTTTCATCGCCACATCATTATGTCTCTATCATCATGGGTGTTGGAATGTAGTTACTGTATTGCTTGTTTTCAGACTTACCAACATGTATTAATAGTCACTTCGGGAAATGTTGGAATAAGTTTGACATGGTCGCCATGATTATGTTTACCATGTATTGCACACACAAAAAGAGTTACTGTGTGTAAGATTTGTTAAGCAGTATTGTTTTGGCGAGCGGCGACGAACTAGCCCGTAACCCAAATTTTTAACTTTGAACAAAAGTTTTACCAAATGAAGTTCAAAACGAGGCTGGACTCTTCCTCAATGACGTCACCGGGTGTTTCCGAAAAGTTCAACATGGCGGCGCATTAGCTAACTTTACAAGTTTTACTGTGTTTACTAAGGACTTCTTCCTTGTACTGCGTTACTGATTTACAATGGCACAACAGTATAAACTTAGCAACGACGAACAATTATGGGTTATGGTACAGGTACGTGAAGGACTGATGACTGTTGATGACGCTCTGCAGTATGTGTACAAGCAACACTGCGACGAAATAATCGACGAAACGAGCAACGAAAACGAAAATATGAGCAATGCAAACCAGCGAGGCGAAAGCGATTCGAATCAGGTAAAATACGCTATATGATCGTCCTGTATTTGCAAAAACATAACTAACTGCCGCATTTGTGGTGTGTGTATTATGTAACCCATCAATATATCTGTCCCAGTCTGACTTTCTGTTCACCCTATTTAAACACCGCCAAAGTAGTCAACGAGTGGTCAGTTTGTTAGCAGTGATTGGCCTTGACCGCGGACTCAATCCACAGTCAATGTGGTATGACTCTGTCAATTCTCTAATGATGCATGGCCAGAATGTATGTTGTAATGACACTGATTTTGTCAACATGTGTCGTTTAATAATAATGTTAGAGTACGCGTTATTTATTAATTTATAACGCCAATATTTGCCTAGAAGTAGAATCTCCAAGTTCGCAGGGTGATCCACAAAATACCCCGGTAATCTTGTTGATGGTGTCTTTCCCCAATCGTATGTACCGCCAACACTACCGATACCGTTGCACAAAAAATGTTTTGTTTAATTATTTGTTTCAATATAATCATCAAATCTGTTTCATCAAATCTATGTTCAAACATATTTTAGCAAGAACCGATCGAGAGATGAAAACTGGCGAATTAAAAATTTAAAGATCCTCTTCATGTCTTTTTTAATAAAAATGTCAAAGCGACATTTTGGTTTCCCCATGTAAAACATTTTTCTTAAGTATGGATGATATCATGGATTTATAAGATAAGGGTTATGAACTTTATCTTATAATTCGTTTATTGTGATACGCGATGTGAATTAAAGATAATATTCTGTGCGTCAATCAAACACATTTCTATCCAATGGCAATGGAATGCAGTTGATTCTCAGAAAGGTTTGGCTAAATAGAAAGAGTAAGATTATTGCTGTATTCAAAAATACAATATGTGTACATAATAATCCACAGGCCGCAAAAGCCATATCCAGTCCATAAAGGTTTTATCATAACCTTATAGGTGTAATTACAATTTTATCACTGCGTGACCTCACAACATATGATGTAATTTAGAGTGACAAGTTTTGTTTTGATTGATGAAAGCTGGACGCACTGGGCCAGGTGTGATTGCGGTTATTGCGGTAATGTAAGGGCGCACTTCCCATACTGTTACAATATGATGATACCAGTTTTTTAGCTCCGCTGTCGACTTTGTCGAGCAGAGCTTATCATATGAGTGATTGTCTGTGGTCGTCCGTGTCAATGTTTTACTTTTTCGACTTCTTCTTGAAAACTACAAGCCTGAATGCTTTGATACTTGGTGTATATGTACCTTGGGTAGACCTCTCTCAGATTTGTTCATTTCATGATGATATTTTCAATTCTCTAATTTTGGTGAATATTTTTGTCATTTTTGGTAAAAAGTGATACATGTATTTTCAACTTCTTGTTAAAAACTGCAAGTCCAATTGCATTGATATTACATATATAGGTACTACATGTGGACCTCTCTCAGATTTGTTCATTTTGTAATGATATCTTTAATTCTCTAATTTGGGTGAATATTTTTGTCATTTTTGGTAAAAAGTGATATTTTCGACTTCTTGTTAAAAACCTCAAGTCCAATTGCTTTGATATTACATATATAGGTACTACATGTGGATCTCTCTCAGATTTGTTCATTTTCTAATGATATCTTCTGTTCTTTAATTGCCATGTGCATTGCTAACAGCGGTGCTATCTCAGCCGACAGGCTGCGTGTTTGCAGATTCTATCGTTAATTGCATTAGAATTCCTAGATATGTTTGTATACAAAATACATCGGTTTTTATCCAATGTAGACTTAACTGTTCTGTCTCATTGCCTACAGTTTAGGTTATTCCATTTTCATGATGAGGGTAAAGTGAAGTTTTTAAAAATTAAACTTGTTTGTTCGAATATACTAACAGGTTATTTTGAAGTGTTTTAATATTTCTTGAATTACATACAATGTAGAAATGAAGAATAGTTATTGAATATGTACACTAGATTTGCAAAATATTATGTTTATCATCCCTGTGGAATAGTAATTCTTACACAGTACTCCGTCTGTCATGTTCGTCATGCGTATCTGTCAAGTCTAGAAATAAGCAACTGTCAAAGTGCTCAACTAAACAATTTTTGACGTTGAATATTGGCTCTGTCGTAGAATGATCAAATCTGTTGTTTTCCGTCCTCATCATCAATAGCTATCTATAACAACATATCATAGATAAAAGTGCTTATGTACAATTCTAAGCATAGAGTCACCAAAATATACAGGTGGAAGTACACTGCTTCTATTACCACTCTTCCGAAGAATCAAATACGGTACATACATTCAGACTTCTCAGGATCATTGATATCAAGGTCCAAGCCATATTCATAGTAGGCATTAACAAGAGTTCGCAAACCACGGATGGACGGGCACAAGATAACCAAGTCATCAGCATACTTCAAATGCTTGATAAAAACCCCACCCACTCAACAGCCCACTTTAGATGACTTTAAACAAGCACTGAGGTCGTCTATATACACGTTTATACGTTGAAAAGTTAAGACGAAATAATGCTACCTTGCTGAACGCCGTTTCCAACAGAAAACAAAGCAGAAGTAGAATTCCCCTAAAGGACAGTTCACAGCTGCTTACAAGAGATTCTAATCATGATTAAATTATGACATCATGGATACTGATTAATAAAGTGGTTCTGATGTCATCTTTATTTTTGTCATTCAAAACAGGTGGTTCAAACTAGATGCAGCTTTCATATATGCCTGGTTTCATTTTATCCTGAGAAAGGGTTAATTCAAGAGTTTGAAACAAAATAGTTTAGCACTTGTTGAGTTTAATACAACTCTCACTTTCTTTTTTAAGAGAATGGCAATCTCTCAAAATATCAATTTTCATTTCCCCAACATTTGTTGAGTTAGGGATTGACCATTAAAAATTCTGGGAGGTTGGGGAAATGGCAAATTATTTTATTCAGTTACTTAATTTTTTTATCACATTTGTTTTATCTGGATATTTTTTGTTTTGTTTTTTACTATCAAATATGTGGGAGTTTTTAATAAAAAAAATCAATTTCTTTGTCATTTTTTTATGTATTTTGTTTTAGTCAAAACACCTCAGAGTTTTTATTGGTGAGAGAAGTGCTGACAAACATACTTGTATGTCCTAGAATTACACAGGATATAAATATAAAATGATGTGGATTTATCAGTGGAATGCAGATACTATATCAAATAGTTGATCAAACCCCTGTTGTGTTAACGGTGTGCCTGTGTATTATATTGTAAACTAAGCTAAATATAGGGTTTCTTTGAATTAAAATAAAAATAAAATAGCCATTCCATGGCGATTCTTAGGAATTTTTGATTATTCTACTTTAAAAAAAAAGAATCTTGGAGTTTTAATCCATTAAATAGTTCTATAGCAGCTATTAATAAGAAAAAACTTTTGAATTTTAATTTTATTAGAGTGAAATCACAAAAATTTAAACACAGTGAAAAAAAATCAGTGAAAATAGATGACTTCTGTCAATTGGGTTTTAAGTGTGTTTTTCAGCAAGTACTTCACAGTATATCGTTAAATTGATTATACTACTCTTGGTGGTATGACCCATTGTTCTGGTCATGTTTATTCTCATAAATCCACACATGCAAAGTGTACTCACTACATAACTTGTAAACCACTATTGTGAATAAGACCATGTACTTTGGCTAAGCCTGTGCAACATTTGGAGTTGAAGAGGAGATTGAGACCTTCTAATGAAGGTTGGGGCAGATTGGCAGAAAGATTTTTGTAGGGGACAAATGAATGAAATAAAAAGCTTACCCCCAGTGAACCATTGCAACAGGAGGAGAAATTTGCACTTCCTACAATCTTCCTGCCCCAAGTATTTTGTATGGTCAACCCCAAAATGAATGTGTTGTGTGAGAGGAGGAGAATAGACAACAAAATGTTCAACATTTTTTTGAAAACTTTATGCTTTATGCTTGAAGCCATATACAGGTAGATTAATTTTAAAATATAATGTTTTGTCAAACACTGCAAATAAAATAAAAAGTAAAAATTGTAATTTATCAGCAGATTTCATGCTGTGACAACTTTAATGGATAAAGTGCTGTGCGCATTGTGGTACTCCCATGATGCATCTGGATGATATCATTAATGGTGGGATTAACTGCTTAGAGAAACAAAAAGAATAATCATGATATTGTTCCTTGTTTTTCAGATCTGATGTCATTTTTTTCTCAACAGGAAGTTGTGTATGTAACAAATAAGATAAATCAAGAGATTACTACAATGCATTTAGAACTTCAATAATGCAGTATTATTTTTACATCTTAATGTAATTAAATTCTCTCTCAACTTTATTTTCAGAGTGCAACCAGGCACTCACATAAACTAATCCTATTGCAGCGTTTTTCAATACATGTACATTACAATGTAACCATGACAATGAAAGTCTAATCTAACTTTTTTTTCCATCTTTAGAATCAAACTGTAAACAAGAATTTCTTCTTACAAAAATTTGGACGACGGAGTTCAAAACAATCATCCGCCAGTGGGATATTTGGCAACACTTTTTCCAAGAAAGACAAACATAAAACACCGGTTTTCTACAATGATGCTGAGAAAAAAAGTGAAGAGAGTGCGGAGGGGGTTATTAAATTGATGTTAGCTGAAGGTGTGATAGGAGAGGATGACGTCAAAAAGGCAAAACTTGCGATTGGAAATTCTGATGAATACAAGGAAGGGGATCTCGAAAGACTCATCATTGCAAACTTAGTCAAGGTATGAATAAATAATTATCTTATGTGTGGCTGAATTGATGTTTTTTTTATTCACTGCAAAATCTTGTACATTGTGTGAAAGACACGAACCAACATCTGCCGCAAAAATTGAATTATTTAATTTTGAAATTTTATACATGTAGTTCAATGTTAAAACATGGATCTTTCATCAGAGGGGAAACCAGCATTGAGATAGAATTACTGGTATTTCATCAAAATTGACCATCATCAAATATGTATAGCAAATTATTAAGCGTGGAAATATCCCAAAACTACTTTTGTGCTTGTCGAATCCCATGTAATGTTTTGACACAACTACAACACTATGTCTCTCCTGTTTTTACATTTGATTTCACGTGTAACATGGGATCTGGCAGTGAACGAAAAATGGTCTATTACATGTACTTGTATTGGAGAGGACCAAGTTTTTGGTGGTCAGTGGTACTATGATTGTACAATTAAAAATGTCCATTTCAAACAGAAATTGAGGGAAACATAGCAACAAAACACAAACAGACTGAAAAGTGTTTATTTCTTTTCAATAAGAAGAATCATCAAGGTGGATTGATAGCATCTAAATATGGCCATTGCCTGCCAGGTGGTTGTATTGCTAGAAGAAATAAATTTTATCACAAATCAGGTGATCTAATTAGCTAATAGTAGTAATTGAGTGGTCCAACTAATTACTGTGAAATACTGTGGAATTAATTTTTGCTAACATTTTTTGGGTGTTTTGTATGGAATTTCTTTTCACTGATTTTTAATGAGTTGAATGCGAGACATATGAAAAAAAGTATATTCGCTGGATTTTATTTTCACTGAAAATAGCGAAAATAAATTCCAAGCAGAAATAAAGTATTCTACAGTAGAAGGATTTCAGTATAAGCTATACCATTGTATCTTGCATAGTTGTGTCTGGTGTCTTTTGTTCAGCAACTTTGAATACTGTAGAATACTTTATTTTAGCTGGAATAAATTTTCGCTGAAAAGACATTTTGGGTAATTTGTAGGGAATTTATTTTCACTGATTTTTTATGAGTTGAATGTGAGACATATGAAAAAAAGTATATTCGCTTGATTTTATTTTCACTGAAGCATCCCTTCAGCAAAAATAGTAAAAATAAATTCCAAGCTGAAATAAAGTATTCTACAGTAGAAGTATTTCAGTATAAACTATACCCGTGTCTTTTGTTCAGCAACTTTGAATACTTTGTTATTTGCGCTTTAAATCATACAACTTTTAGTATGTGATTGTGTTTGCAAATACATTAATGTGGGTGTGTCCTGTTACTTCCAATGACTGACATGTAAAAATAACTTTACCTTGTTTTCTGTATGTTAATTAGCGAACAATTAGTGTTATTAATTTTATGTATTCCTACATTGGAAAATCTTTCCTTATTTGTTTTAAATTCTTCAATAGGATTTATAGAACCAGCTTATTGTCTGTAACTTTTAAGTGTTGTATGTTTGCAACCTTTGTTTATGGGGTATCTGTCAATTAAACATTTCTCAGACCACAATACGTCCCACCATAAATGGAGAAAATACGTAGCCGTATAATTTGTGAACAAGTGCAGGATGATTTACTTTTGTTGTCGGCAATCTAAAAGTTAAAACCCATAAGGTAAGGGTTTCAAGTTGTACGAACACTGTGTCTGACAACATGGCCGCAAGGTAGATGTCAAATTCTGATTAGTACTTTCTATACATTGTACATTTCAATTTGTGTTTTCAGTTTATGTTAGCATATCTGGAAGGAACCGATGATCGCTAGCCAAAAGCTGGGGTTATATAACCCCCATGATATTAGTGCTGAGACTTATTTTTCCGTCCAGGCTAAATGCGGTGGAACAATTATGTTTTTATGTATTTTTCCATACCTATTTTGGTAATTTTGAACTTAAATGGACATAGTGTCCTATTAGCTACAAATGTTGATCAAAATTTGGGAAAAATTGTGAAAATATTATGTGGGTTTGATATCTGTGATAAAGGTTGACTGGCTCTCAAAGGTCAAAGCTTTCCTATCATAAACATCACAGCTTACCGGGGGTATATTCACATATGGGTTCATTGTACGTTACCCCTTTGGTTTAAAGCGCAGTGATCGTCGCGCAGCACGTGTTCGAATTTCATGTAAATAAACAATGTATTTTACACGCGATGTATACGTCGCTATGAGTTCCATATCGAAAAGGATGCGGCACGACGACTTTAAATTAGAAGGTGTTGTTGTTGAACTAAAATTCTGATATAGAATTAGGGAAGTCTGAAGCACAAAATTCCATCGTCGCTATCAATACTCTTTCTTCTGTTACATATTTACAAGATTGTCTTGTTTACTTTCAGCACGGCCGGATGTGTATTGATGATGCCATGAGATATGCATCAAATATTATAATTGCTGAGTCCGCTAAACGAGAGGCAGAAGCCATCATGGAAGCTGAACATGCTTTGAAAGACAAAAAACTATATAATTTTGGAGTTTATAAATATTATAAAAATAAAAGTAGCCAAAGAAGAATTCTACAGGTGAGTTGTAGTTTTATCGTACAAAATAAAACATCTCATTTCGCAAACAGAAGTGTTGTTCTGTATTCAAATATACTTGGTTAGTGTAGTCAGTTTTAATTTATTTTACAGAAAAAGGGAAAGTTCTAATTGTCATCCATTTTTGTGTATTTTCTATTTTCAGATTGATTTTCAGAGTTCCTTGATCTTGAACATCCAGAAAGGTAACTTGAATCGGAAATTCAAATTTGCCCAAGTTTCTCACTATGAAAGCGAGGTAAGTTGTTTTAATTTGAATTCTATATTCATTCCTGCCAAAACATTTCGCTTATTTGTTTGCATTTCTTTAATTTATTTATTAATTTTAATTTTTCTTTGTGAAATTTAATCTTCCTTGTGGTTTTTTGGTTTTAAAGAATTTTTACCCTAATTTGACAACTACATTTGAAAGCTGACCGATTACCAACTATATTTGTAGTATTTTTTAGTGCATTTATACTTGCCACCTAAGTTGTCACATTTCTAACTTCTAAATGCAAGTTTTATTACTCTCCAATCTGTGCATGCATTTATGCAGAGAAAAAACACCACAACATAATCGTACTTTTTTTATGAAAATTGATTATTGTTCAACATCTGAATATAAATTTAAGGTAGAGATGCAGGTTTGTGGGCACTTGAGAGTAAATTTTTTTTTTTTTTGCTTTTTATTATCTAAACAGTTTTGGCTACAGACTGTTAAAATTTTGTAGAATTGTGAATAGTGGAACATACTAAAAAAACGATTTTAAAATATAGATAACAGATGCAAACATTCTCTCTTTTGAATGCTTAGCAAGATTTAGCAAGGCTGTACATAAATAATAAAAATGAAACATGGTGAAAAAAAGAAATGACGGGATCTCCATATTATGCACTATATTTAACTTTTAACAAAACGATTATACATTTAAATTTGGAACTGTTACAGCCATTTTAATTATGAGCATTAGCAAACTTCTTACTGAGTGAATTGTTATGCAAATTAGCAATTATCTCTTATA